ATTTCTAAAATTTCATGAATATACTTAAATAATTAGTGCATTGGCTCTTCAAAATATTCGAATCATGTTCAATTGCTTTATATGTAAGCCAAAAGCATATCCTTTACGATTGCATGATTGACTGTATCAGGTCAAAGAAGAGCTTGAGACCAGGGGCTGTCAAATAAGAACTGGTTGCGAGGTACAGGCTGTTTTGACCGCTGAGGGTAAGAATTTTAGGTTCATCATATAGAAAATGCAAAATGCTAGTTAACTAACCATTAGAATTAGATGCTATGCCACTCAGGGTATATGCTTAGAGGTGCTACTAAAGAACTAACAACTGCATGCCTAACATGAAAAAGATGAGTAGGCAAAATTGGATGGAATTTGAATCATCAAAGCCAAAAGGGTAAATAAAAGATAAACACTAACATAAAGATAGGAAATTCTTTCTTTTTTGAATTTGCTCATATGTCAATCCTATCATTTTTTTCTCTTTGGAATGTTTTGCCTATTGGCCATCTGGATCCTGTGATAAATGCATTACTATTTTTTTTTTTTTTTTTTTGCTTGGCAATGCAATTCTACATAAGCTTTTCAAAATGATCTTGATTTGATCTATGTTTGAAATTAACAGAAACAATAATAATTTATGATGGGTCTGGTGTCATTCACTCATCGCTTACGGATATGTTTCATTCTTTTCAATCTCCACTAATCAGAAAAGGCAGAATGTTATCAAGTACAGATGTGAAGATGGTCAAGTACAGATATGAAGATGGTCATATAAATTTCTTACTCTCAGAAATTATTGGTAGTTAACTCAAGAGAAATGGTTTTTCAGGTTGCACTGTGTTATGTGTAGATGGTTCGAAAGAAAGGTTTGCTGGATGCATAATGGCTGTCCATGCTCCTGATGCTTTGAGGTTACTAGGAAATGAAGTAACATATGAAGAATCAAGAATACTTGGTTCTTTCCAATATGTCTACAGGTACCTTTCTTCCTTGATTTAACTTATTGAACCTTGTGAATTTGCAACTCAATGTATCTTCTTTTTTTTTTTTCGCCAAACAGGTGAATGTGTCAAAGATGTGAGACTAACCTTGTGAATTTCCCAGAAAAATTTCTTTTTGCTAAAATCATACATTGCTTTCCTATATTCTGTAGTCTGTATTTCTGGTTTTAAAACGTGTGCAAATGGAACAGATATGCCTCTTATCTTGAATGATTACTCAATGCAGTTCTGCACAATAATTTGTTAACTCTTCATTGTCAGTGATGTTTTCCTTCATCGTGATACAAATTTAATGCCCAAAAACCGAGCAGCATGGAGTGCATGCAATTTTCTTGGAAGTACAGAGAAGAAAGTATGTTTGACATACTTGCTCAATGTGCTTCAGGTACGTAACTTTCCGCTTATACTGAATTTGAATCTATGGATCTAAGAAATAGTTTGAGAGTATGGTATGTAATTCTAGTGGACATTGTCACTACTTAAATCAATATCTAGTCATTTGTGTTATCATGGGGCATAATGATCAGTAGGTAGGACAGTTTAAGAGCTTCAGCAAGATAGATTTATATTGCACTCTATCTCAGAAAACTTAGGAATTGACAATTATATTTTTTCTAATGGAAGGAGAAAATTAAAAAAAAAAAAGAAAAGAAAAGACACTAATTTTCTCTATTAATTAGGCAGTCTAGAAAGAAAATGGCCAAAACTCCTATTTGCACCAGCACATTATTTTCTTCACAGTCAACACCCTCAAGAATTTTTCCTCTTGATCAATACCTTGTATAATTTAAAACTTGTAGAGAACTCAAAAATTAACAGTCAAACCCTCTATTTGCACCCTGCTTTTGTTGATAATTTAGGGGTTTTTTTACCAATTTCAAATTATAGAGGGTGTTAACTACAAAAAAGAATAATATGCAAAGTGCAAACAAGAAAACTGGCCGAAAGAAAATTGGTGAAAAAAAATGAAAA